GCCGAGCCCGGTGTGGGGGTCCCGGGCGGAGGCGGGGGCAGCGCAGGCCGAGGGGCGTCTGCGATTGTTCTCAACACCCCTCCCCCACTCCACCCCGTGTGTCTGTTTGTCACTTGCAGCTGAAGATGGAAAGAGCCAGGCGAAGGGGAGGCGGCGGCGGCCGCGGCCGCGGAGGCAAGAATGTAGGGGGCTCTGGCCTAAGCAAGAGTAGACTCTATCCCCAGGCCCAGCACTCCCACTACCCCCACTACGCGGCTTCAGCCACCCCTAATCAGCCTGGGGGCGCAGCCGAAATCCAGGAGCTGGCCTCCAAACGAGTGGACATCCAGAAAAAGAGGTTTTACCTAGACGTGAAGCAAAGCTCCCGGGGCCGGTTCCTAAAGATAGCCGAAGTCTGGATAGGGAGAGGCCGGCAGGACAATATCAGAAAGAGTAAACTGACCCTCTCCCTGTCAGTAGCAGCGGAGCTGAAGGACTGTCTAGGGGACTTCATCGAGCATTACGCCCACCTGGGCCTGAAAGGCCACCGGCAAGAGCATGGCCACAGCAGAGAGCAAGGCTCCAGGAGGAGACAGAGGCACTCGGCACCCTCCCCACCAGTCTCCGTGGGGTCCGAGGAGCACCCTCACAGTGTCCTTAAAACAGACTACATAGAGAGGGACAATAGGAAATATTACCTAGATCTGAAGGAAAATCAGCGAGGTCGCTTCCTAAGGATTAGACAAACCATGATACGGGGGACTGGCATGATAGGTTATTTTGGCCACAGTTTGGGCCAAGAGCAGACTATTGTCCTCCCAGCACAAGGAATGATTGAGTTTCGTGATGCCTTGGTTCAGCTAATTGAAGACTATGGCGAAGGGGACATAGAAGAACGAAGAGGTGGAGACGATGACCCGCTTGAACTTCCAGAGGGAACTTCTTTCAGAGTGGACAATAAAAGGTTCTACTTTGATGTGGGCTCTAATAAATATGGAATTTTCCTGAAGGTAAGTGAGGTGAGGCCACCTTACCGTAATACTATTACTGTTCCGTTCAAAGCTTGGACAAGGTTTGGGGAGAATTTTATCAAGTATGAAGAAGAGATGAGGAAAATTTGCAACAGCCATAAAGAAAGGAGAATGGATGGCAGAAGGGCCAGTGGTGAAGAACAAGAATGCCTCGACTAGAGTGAAATTGAACTCCATCAGGCAAAATTTAAAATCATAAATTGGCTAAAAGTACTGATCTATAATCATTTGAAGAAGTTTTTCCTCTTTTTTGGCCCTTTGTTATTAGTAATACCTCTAGTAGTTTATACTTCAAGGAGTCTGATTTCCATGTTATGTTATGCATAGTATGCTATAATTCTTATGGGAATTCCATCCTTCCCAGAGCTAAATAGTTTAGCTGCTTCATCTGCTCCAGACTATTGAAGTATGCAGATCAGCACAAAATGTGACGTTCTGACCTTCTAAATACCATAACTTAAGACTTACATTGCACTATGAATAATCCCGAAAAAAGATACATATACTTAATATGGAAGTGTGAATTACTATTTAACAAGTTCCCCCAAAAAAGTATTTCATTCTTACTTCATTAAAAGCTGCCAAGCTTACCTGTAGGACAGTTACCACAGAAACAGAAATTGACCTTAAGTATAGTATAAATATATTTGCTTATGAAAGTACAAGTAGAAGTATATTAATTGTCCATTGGATAACTGAACATTAACCAGTACCATTAAAGAATCAAATCTTAGAGTTACTATAGTATTCTATAATTTCAAATTTTGTGGTAACCCTACAGTTAATAGTTGCCATATCAAAGCCATAGGAGAGTTTTAATTGGTTATTCTAAGCTAGTTACAATCCCATCTACACCTCTGCTTATTGTATCATATATTTTTACTGACTTTTGAAAGTTTCAGGAATTACTTTCATGTCTCTGTTGAGTGGGAGGCTTCATCCTATGGCTTTGCTATGGAAATTTTGTTGTTTTAGCTTTTGATGCTAATTTGAAGGTTGTGAGAGGTTTTTTCCCCAAAATACATCATGGACTCAAGGTGTTATATTTTATGCTTCTTCTTTAACACTATTTCTGAGGGGTTGGTGCACCAGTTAATTGATATAAAAATACATCTGTAATAATATCTTTTAGTAGCACTTTTGCAATTACTACCCTTAAAACTGTGTCAACACTTCCAGTATAAACCTGATTTTTACAGGTGTTTTAATTCTGGTGGGGAAAAAAGTTGTTTTGTTTTGTTTTTTTTTCTAAAAAGCAGTTAGAATATAAATTTTAAGCCTGGGAAAAAATATTATTTGAAGATTGGTTACAAACATATTTGAAAGGAAAATTCAGGCATTTTTCAAGGTGCTCTTTATAATACTTAAAAAGGTTTACTTCACAGAAGACTCACCCATTTACCTGTATTAAAAATTACTTTCCAGGAAGTCCCCAGCAATTTTTCAACGCCTAAGCAATTTTTTAACTGAGTGGATATAGTCTTTATCTATACCAACCCACCCTGTGTTAACTGACTGAATTTTTATCTGTTGAGCTGCATTTTATTCTGAATGAAATTACTGTGGCTTTAATTTGGCTTTATTCCCCTCCCACACAATAAGTCCATATAATCATGTTTAAGAGCCAGACACTGATTTCAACCCCCAAATATAGCTCTCATTGATGAAAGCTGGCTGCATGGATTGAGATCAGAATATAGCTCTTCTTTTATATGCTATAGGTAATTCAGAATTATTTTAA